AGATTCATTTGACAAATAAAGACATGTCCACCATGGACGTCCTTTCGGATATCCATGGTGAACGCACTGGAAAACAGGGATGAGCCATTTTGTCGATCTATCTAGGTTTTGTGTTAAGGGACGAAGCCGTCATTTGCATCGGAGTAGTTTCCTCTGGAACGACTTTACTTTTATTTGAAAGAACGGTGGCAATGGTCAAATGGTTTACTACTAACTCTCTCCTATGATCAACGTTTCTCAACTAGCCACTACGATAGATATTCCATTCGATATAACACGATACTTAGTCTTATCGCAATAGCGCGATCAAATAGTTTGTTGGAAAGTTGGTTATCTTGTAATACAGTCTCCGATAGATTTATTGCCAAAAGACAGAATAGTACGATTTATTATGACAAAGTTATTCTTGATAATAATATTCTCATGAGAAGTTTTTACAATAGCACATTTTTTATAGATTTACTTGTTCAATATGTGGAAAGCATTGGGCTTCTGGTAAAGCAACGGTTATTTTTTTCCATCGACTGGATAACGGCTCTGGTTCGGTACAAATGTTATTACTTGGCCAACAATGTAAAAGATGTACAAATAGTGGTTATTATGATTATTATGATCCGGATGGTTATTATGATCCAGATATTTATTATGGATACTGTGATCCGTATGATTATTATGACCCAGATAGTTATTATGATTATGATGGTCCAGGCGATTATTATGATCCAGATGGTTATCAAGACCCCGATTTTGCATCTTCAGAAATGGAAAATATCGTTGAAAATTTGTACCGGCGAATATCCGAAATCTATTATGGTAAAGAAAGAAAAGTAAAAATAAATAATGAACGTGAGGATAATTCAAATGGTTCCCATGAAAAAAGCTTATGTCGAGCTTGCAAACTTGGTATATGTGATCGCAAAGATTAATATATTACCAGCCTGGCTTTAAAACTAACTAAAATTTAGGGTTGTGAATCAAATATAATCAAAAAACGAGAATTGAAAGCGATTTAGTATGATCTGGCGAAAGGACATCTTAGTTTTTGTTATTCGTTTTGTCTTTCAATAAAGTAAATATATTTAATATAACTGAAAAAGATTTTTGTAAAATCATTTTACAAAAATTGAGTTGGAAGGGTAATGAAAGTTTTAATAGCAAATGAAAAGCGAGAATTACTTTTTCTGAAAACAAGCTTTACACACTAAATGTCTCCTAAGATTTTCAATTTTGTTTTTCTAGTATTTCCGTTAATACTCAACTTCTCGCACCGATTCTCTTTTATCCTGTTATGTACAGCATATGCTGCGGCTCAAAACATTTTGTCGTTCCTGAGAAAAATGAATTTTACTACAAAAATGTCCCGCGAGATTTTTTCAGTTCACAATATCCCGAGAGATTCAACCCGTCATATTGGGCCAATTTCTCGTTGAAACCGGTCCCGGTTCTTTGCCACAGTTCGAAAAGTTCCTAATGCTGACTTTTTTCAAAAAATAATCATTGTCGTCACACTGCCACATGACTATATGTA